TCATGCCAGAAGAGTATATTGCTCCCAGCCAGCGTTTCCGCCGCCCAAGTCACTCACCGGAGCTGCCTACCTGGCAACTGGAAAGTTCTGTCACTGCTGGATGATAGTTACCGCCAGCCTAGCATTTGTTTATTTGCGGATTTGCGGCTTTTCGGTGGGCGTTTGATGGCGGCTCCAGACCATGGGCTGGGCAGTTCATCATGCTCAAAGTAAGCAGTATCGACGACGCCGCACACACAACTTTTGTCTGACAGCCCTCTTCACCATCCACGAAAAGACTCCGGCGGGGTTAGAGACACGCCCTTTGTTGGACCACAAATCTCTCTGGAACTTCAGCCACAGAGCCATGTTTGTAAGGCTGGCTGGACCATTCTGAAGCTCTCCACTGTCGTATTTATTTGTATGTACATGGAACCGTCCGTATAGAGAGGGACGGATTATGGAGTGGGAACGGGGGAGCGGTTGCAAAAGGAAACGGGAAGTTGGCTCGTATCGACGACCAGTTGTGGGCTCCAAAGCTATTCAACTTGATCTTCGGCTTGACTACAGAGTCCAAATCGACATCTTAGATGAGGCGCTCGATCGTCGGGTTGATGATAGTCGCAAACAGCAAAACTGTCAAACCAATCCGGAGCATTGCAGCCTCAATCAGCCGATCTGGACCCGCTCCGAAGCCATCGAGGTCCATGAGCTCATGATTGCACCACTGGGTGTCACACAACGACTTTGTGTGAATGAAAGGCGTGCTCAGCCAGATCATGGTCAACATCATCATCATCATCATCATCACTACTGTCGCCTTTTTGCCTACAGCACTGTCTCACGCTGTGACAACTTTCAAAAAAAAAAAAAAAAAAGTGAAGGACTGATGCTTTGTACAACTCAGTGGCGTGCTCAGGGCGCGATTTCCCCGTCGCCAACGTTGTTAGACGTCACCAGGCGCAAAAGAGACGAATGGTGAAGACAAACTCGATATTGTTGGTTGCGTGCCTCCGCCAGACACTTCATCATGCAAGTGCCAGCCTGACCTGCCCCGACTCCGATCGTAGAGACGCCCTCGAGGCCCATGAAGCCAATTTGCTTTCAGCTTCAGCGTTTGGCGCTCCTAGCGGAAGCTCAAATGACAGTTTTGCTTTCATGCCATGGCCGCGAGTTGGCCGACGCCGTGATAGGTCGGCCGCACAGGGGTGCGTGCGCCTGTGCATGCCTGACAGGTAGCGACTGCCACCCTTCCTTGAGACAGATTTGTTTTCGTACCACGCACACCGTCTGTACGAAGTGCTTGCATACCACATGTTGACAAAGAAATACTGCACCCTGGCAGGGCAGCGGTCGACTCGTCGACACATCGACGCCATGGAGTACCGAGTACAGAGTACACAGGCGGCTGCCACGACATGCATGTAACAACGTACTCAAGCCTGCTAGTCTAGTGCTGAGCCAGTCGCGCGTGTCAATCCGTCAAGTTGCGGCTGTCAACGTTGGAATGTCCATCCTCGTGACTGTTTGTTTCGTGTTTCCTGCATGGACGATGGTTGACAATTGACCAAAGGCCGTTCAAACAACCGGGTAGTACTGACGGATGCGGGAGATCAGTCCGCTTTGGCACGCCTGAAGGCTCACGGCACATGGTGAAGAATGGCTATGGGATATGGTGCTACTCGGTGCTTGGTAGACCGTGGGAAGTCCGGTCACTTCGTTCTCGTCATTCACCCCCGGCTCTGTCGCGCAACACAAGCCCTTTGAGGCATGAGAGCCTAATGCTGCAGCTTTTGATCTTGCTTTGTCCCTTTCCAAATATGATCATATCATTTCGCGCATCGTGCCACATCGGACATGACTCTCTGTGACCCAGCCCTGGACTCGAGGACTGTTTGCTCCTGGGCGCATCTCTTCACCTCACGTTGCAAAGGAACACAGGCAGTCTATTCTCCGTAACCCTGTAGGCTGTGGCCTTGTTCGCAGTAGTAAGTACCCTGGGCTCTCCGGTTGTTGCTGGCCACCTGGCAAGACTTGGAGAGGCAGAAACAAGCCGTCAACTTGGCAAAGAACCCTGTACCCTGTTGTAGCCGTTGTCAACATGGCGGGCTTGGCAGATCACGACACATGATGGAACGTGGACTTTGGTAGCCGGGCGTCTGGCGCAGCTTGGGGGCATTTCAGGGCAGGGAAGCCATGGAGCCTCACATTTTCATCAAAGCAAAACATTCTTCACGTCAGGCAGCAGCCAGGCAGACAGCCAGGGCCACCATGCCAGAAGCCCTGAGCCTGTTCAATCCCAAATAGCCGGGTCGATCATAGCCGGGATTTCTGGGCTTGGGCTTGGGCATGTTTCTGCTCGGCTTCATACCCCTCCGGATACCATGAAAGCAATGTCCGGTAATAGAGATCATTGCGTGAGCCTTGTTTTCTAAAAGTCTGTCTTCAAAACAAGGGTTAACTGTTATTAACAATGACATCGGTGCCGACGCCGGAATCGGAAGTATAGGGCCATGTCGCCCTGTATTACGGAGTATTGTATGTACAGACATTTCACGGTGATGGTGCTTGCTCCCAACGACTCCCAATTGAAGGAGTAGTTGAATGGACCTATTTGTGAGGGCTCAACATGTGCATAGTGAGAAAGTCAGGGTACCTACTTTAGGTAGGTACCTAGCAGGCAGGTGCTCGAATGTCGCGGTATTGGTTCTCATTTTCTTCGCGCCAATGGTTCCTGTTGGAGTCTCGTTGCATACGGAGTACTGATGATGCACCAAGCGTCCATCAATCTCAATCCTCCCATGCCTTGTTGTGTCGCTCATGTCACTCAAGTTTGCCCTCTGTCCCTCCATGCTGGCAATCTCGCCGAAGCTGCCAGCACGCCAATGCTCCATAACAAGACACTGCTGCACACACCCCCCCTTTCACCAGGTTGAGCAAAGCCCTTTTTTTTTTTTCCTTCTTCTCCACCCCTGTTTTTGTCCCGTCACCTTGGGGCTTGGGCTGTCCTGCGGCCGTACGCGCCCACTGTTGTTGGTTCTTTGCTTTATTTTTCCTTATTTTATTTTATTTTATTTTATTTTTCTTTCACTGCAACCATACCCCCCTTTGTCCCCCCTTCCCCTCTCGTCAGCCCACGTCTGCTCACGCCTCGTTCGCTTGCCCATGCCAGGGAGGTAATCCATCCATGTCAATCAATTGATGAACAACACCCCCGGACTTCGCAAAAACGCATACCAAAATCCAATCTGTTCGGTGTTGACTTGCGAGGGCCTGGTGGTTCAAGTTGGTGCGAAGTACCAAGCTCCTCCGTATTCCATACTCTGTACTCCTTACTCCCTAAAGGTTTCCATAGAGTACTCGAGATTTACTACTTTACTTGCATATCCCGCTCTTTCCATCTTTGAGCACTCGACTCAACCGCCCCTTCTTTCCACTACCTACCTTGCTTGCAGACGTCCGCCCTGCCCTCTCAACCCCGTCTACCTCTTTCCGTCTTTATGGTTTTATCTTGACCGGCAATTTTTTTTTTGTCTCTAACACATTTTCAATCTCAGGCAACTTCTCGGTCGAGCTTGCCCTGTGAGCGTTGTGCATTTAGGACTGCTTCATTGTTGTTGTCAAGTAGGACTACTTACTATTTGATAATTACTCCCTTGCTATTTGCCATCACCATTACTCATACGACTGCCCTGCGTTCTCGCTCGCATCGCTGTACTAGCAGTGTGGGCCTCTCCAAGGAGGCTGAGTCACCACCCAACTCGCTTTGGGACGTCGTTGTCGCATACACCCGCTCAAGCGAGCAAGTCCACCTAGGTCTTGCTTAGCTCTGCCAAGGTCTCTCAAGGTCTGAGCACTTCGGCCCTGTCGGCCAACTACGACAGAGACTACCCACCCCAAGGCGCATTCGTCTAAACCCTCGCCACCGCCGGCATACCTTCAGTCGACGACATTAATTTTCTGCTGCCCTTGCGCAGAGCTACCAGTTACCTTGGCCTTTTTCTACCGCGACTCACTCTCAGCTAAGCGATTCTACAGCAGGAACCACCAGCAAGACGAGATTACTTTAGCGGAACTTGACGCTCATAGTTTGCTCTTTGGGGTTATACTTATATTTGCGCTCGTCACCTTTTGCGGCCTGGTGCCGTCCCGATTCTACTTTTTTGGTAGTTTTTTTCCTTCTTCTCTCTGGTCTCCAAGCCCTCTTCCGGCGCGGTTCAACAGCACAAGGGAATAACAAGAATCAAAACTTGCTAGTGGACATTCCGGAGCTTTGCGACCTTGTTCGACGGAAGAATTTACATACCAGGTTGGCGCGCACCTGTTGAGCGCCCACCCACCTCGCGCAAGCTCAACGCTTCCATTACTTGGGCCAGGTATCACTCAACTTCTTCAGCGGCTGACGAGCAATTCCCCGGTGCTTGCAGCGAACAGCATACATACCCCGTACCCAAAAACAGCCACCTGCATACAACCTCGCGCTGCAGGACTGCCACCTCACCATCGACTACACTCTGCCGCTGTTCTACAGGCCTTTGTCTTGACCCGACGGCACTCCAGATCGGACCCTAGCTGTAGCTCTGCTACCACCCCCCCGCGGGATCAATCTTCCTCGCCAATTACCCCGGTCGATAGAGACAGTTACGCAGAGGACAATTGGTAGGCAGTCGCCATACAGACGCACCACTCGCAGCTGCCTGCTTTCACACGCTCCTACAGCCATCATTGTTGGAAGACGACACATACAATACAACCACCCGAAGCATACTCTAGATCAACGGGTCTCGTGGGCTTTGCTGCAGATCTGCCAGTTCGACACATCCCTCTCCCTCCCTCTCGCCCTCTCTCTTTGCCGCACTTGGCTGAATTCTGCTATTTCTGCCACGGCCTGCTCCTGTTCCCAACATGCATACCGCATCTGCCCTGGCTTCATAAATGTCGACTTGGTCATTCTGAGGTAGCCCGAGGCTCCCTTCTCTTTTTATCTCCTCTCATGTACGGCGTGCAACCAGTGCACAATCATGACACCTAGCGACTTAGAAACTCAGCAGATGACTGCTTCTTCAAGTGCAGACCAAACAATGTCTGCACTCTCTGCCCAGTTACGGCGTTCTCGCCCCGGCCTCGTCCAGACTACCTTTAACTCCAATTCACAAACCGTTCACGTGCCGGGTTCAGCAATTAGCGCCTCTTCGGCAGCTTCTAGCTCACAACAAGGATCGCCAATAATGTCACCCGGTACTGCCGTCTTGACGACTAACTCATCAATTCAGGCTTCGCCGGAACCCCTTCGACCACGGGATGATGATCAGTTCTCGGCAAGCTTTCAGCTTCCAGATTCTGTTTTGGCTCGCAAGACAAGCACCAATTCCCTCGGCAGGAGTTGTGTCAGCAGCACCAGCCCAATTGCAGAGGCAGTAGTCCCAGAGTTCCGAAGTAATAGTGTATCTGCTACTTCCACTGGCACTACACCTACTGCTACAAACAGCAAGGGAAACTTGATTCGCAGATTATCCAGCCGAGCATCAAGGAGCCTGGCCAGTACCAGAAGAAGGCAGTCTTCTGCAACACCAGCTGGCCGAGATGGGAGCATTGGCCCGTGTTTTTTGCGGCGGCGCAGTGACAGTAACAACACTGCTCCAGACTACGTCCCTACACCTTCAACCGACTCGGAATCTGACCTTGATGAGAGAGATGATCTCTTGTCAATTAAATCTTCATTCCTTGACCACATTCCCAAAGGATCTTCTGCAAATAGCACCACAGGGTCCGTTACAGGCAGTGCTAATAACATGGCCGGCCCAGTTATCCCTTTGCAGTTGCAACGTGGCACATGGTTGAGGAAAATCTCAAAGAAAAACCGGTCAAAACGCATCTGTCTTATCTATGAACGAGAAACAAACAAGCTAGTTTGGGATAAAGCTCGTCCTCAGAAATTTCTACACGTCGATGATATTAGAGAGATTCGATTTGACTCCGACATCCAGCAATATGCCAGAGACTTCAATATTCCCGAATCGGAACGATTGACCTGGTTTACGATTCTTTACACTATGCCTGACAAGTCCAAGTCAAAACTCATGCATCTCATGGCTGACAGCATTGAAACGACTAACCTCTGGATCAACTTCCTCGACGCCATGCTGAGTCACAGACAAGATGTCATGACGGCGCTGATGACCTTCAACGACAAGGCCATTCAGCAATACTGGCAATCTGAGATGACAAAGAAGTTCGGCGACAATTTTCGAAGCGAGGACCAGGAAGAACTCGACATTAACGGTGTAATGCGAGTATGTCAGAATCTGCACATTTATAGCTCACAATCCACTCTTCAAGCCAACTTTAGGCTTGCCGACGCTCGTCACCGCGAAGCCCTTAGATTCGAAGAATTCTTGGATTTTGTTCGGCTTATGCGTCAGCGACCAGATGTGCAACGCATCATTCGAAGCATCGCCGCCAAGCCTGACAAGGGCCTGACCTTCGTGGAGTTTCTTTCCTTCTTGAGAGACTACCAAGGCGAGGATATTGAAGCCAACATCACCACGTGGGAAAGGCACTTCAATAAGTTTGTTCGCAAGCACCGAGCCGATGATCTGGGCGGACTGAAGGTTTCACAAGACGACATGTACATGTCAGAAGCCGCATTCGTTGGATTCCTGTCTTCCCGACACAATGGTCCCCTAGCAGAGGAGCCTCAAGAATACACTTTGGATCGCCCCATGAACGAGTACTTCATCTCCAGCTCTCACAATACCTACCTTCTTGGTCGACAGGTTGCTGGTCAATCCAGCGTTGAAGGTTACATCCGCGCACTTGCTCAAGGATGTAGATGTGTCGAAGTAGACTGTTGGGACGGATCTGATGGTCAGCCCCAAGTAGTCCATGGACGGACTCTCACTTCAGCCATCAGCTTCAAGGAGGTCATGACGACCATTAACAAATATGCATTTGTAAAGTCCAGCTTCCCTCTTTGGATCTCTCTCGAAGTTCATTGCAGCCCCTCTCAACAAGCCTTGATGGTGGATATCATGAAGGAGGCTTTTGGGGCTAGACTGATGACAGAGCCACTGGACTCTTCGTCTGACAAGCTCCCCTCTCCATCCGAGTTGATGGAGAGGATTCTCATCAAGGTCAAGAAGCCACGTGGCGGCAGGGATGAGAGCCTTCCAGCAGAACCAGTCGGCCGGCGGCGCGGAAGCAGCTTGAGCTCGCCGGTTTCAAAACCAACTGTCCCAGACAGCGGCGCCTTTTCACCTTCACAATCACTTCCTCAGAGCCCCCTGTTGTCCGCGTCGAACCAAGCCCGACGACTTGTCAGCAAAAGCCGTGTCAACACCATCGCGGAAGGAGAGGTGCACGATATTCCGAGCAGTAGCACAAGCGATAATGAGAGTGGAAGCGAAATCGGAGGCTCCGTCCGACGATCGCAAAATAAGACAACACGATATCTTGGTGCGCTTGGTGTGTACTGTGCTGGAGTCAAGTTCTTTGGGTTCGAAGATCCGGCTGCCAAAACCTTCAATCACATCTTCTCCTTCATGGAGACCAGTTTCGCCAAGCACTCACGGACCAAGGATGCCAAGATGGCACTTGACATTCACAACATGCGATACCTGATGCGAGTGTACCCCGACGGACTACGACTGGCGTCGAGCAACTTTGATCCTCTCATCTATTGGCGGCGCGGTGTGCAGATGGCAGCTCTTAACTGGCAGACTTTCGACTTGGGCATGCAGCTCAACAACGCTATGTTCCAAGGCGGCAAGGATGAGTCTGGATATGTCCTGAAGCCTGATGAGCTCCGTGACATTCAGATTCAGCCATACAACTCCGCGATTGCCGAAGGCAAGAAGGAGAGGTCCGTAGTGACGTTTGCTATTGATGTCATTTCAGCCCAGCAGCTTATGAGGCCTGCAAACCTTGCTGCCAACAAGTCCATGGATACCTATGTTGAAGTGGAAGTCTTCCACGCCAACGATAAGCGAGACAAAAAGGAAGTTGGGTCAGGGTTGACGCACGCCCTTGACTCTCCACTCAAATTCCAGACGGATATTGTGCGTGAGAACGGCTTCAATCCCATGTTTGCTGATGGCCGGTTCAAATTTATTGTGACAACCAAGCACCCAGAGCTGATCTTTGTACGCTGGTCTGTCAAGCTAGCTAGCTATGGGGAGAGCTACAATAGCAAAGAAGGCTCGGCCATTGCCACGTACACAGCAAAACTCAACAACCTCAAGGTGGGATACCGCACCATACCGCTTCACAACCACGCAGGTGATCAATACTTGTTCTCGACACTATTTTGCAAGATAAATGTTGAACCCATTCAAACGAAACTCTTCGATACTGCTGCTCCAGTGCAGGACGGCGGCAAGCTTAACCGCTTCGGAGGCAAGGTGTTTGGCCGGACCAACACGAGTCCTCGCAGCACATTTGAGAAGAGCAGCGTGGAAAAGAACAGTTTTGATAGCCTTGTCTAGAAGGCAAGGTGTATGCCACACTGTTCATGATACGTTTTATTTTACTCCTCTAGTTACCCTGCCGAGACTCGGGATCTGCCAAGATGCAGGTGCAAAGGAGGCGGAATTCATACGACCCGGGCTTCATGCCGATTTTTCTATTTTCTTCCATTCCTGATGTCGGGGCTGGCTTTTCCTTGGCCTTTATTATTGATGTCCCCCATATTCTTTTTGTACAATTCGTGTACCTTCTGAAATTGGTCTTTTCTCTCGAGCTCTTGGAGAGCCACATCTTCTGTTTGTTTGTTTTTAACAATACCACGTCTAGCCAGCTCGTTTTTTTATTCCTCTTCTTTTCCTTTGTTTTATTACCGTTCTGGAGCGTCTAAAATTTAACGTCGGGAGCGTACCAAACAAAAAATACCCCTCACCCTGCGGAGACTTGAATGCACAAATTTTGATTTTGATGATGGGCATATTGGTTTGGTCTTTGAGAGCAGCAGGGCTGATGATATTTTGCATACAGCTCTTTTGAAAAAAGCCCTTCGTTTAGTTCATTTTAGGGAGTCATTGCATCGAAATGCGGAATATGGCACAAAAAGGGTTCTTCATAAACAGGTCTGGCACGGAAACCAAAGGCATAACTTTGTTCACCATTATCATATCACCGTTCCGCCTGTTGCCTTCTGATTCTAGTTCGGATCTGGTCATGCCCTGTTGGCTTGTCTCGACATGGTTGCAGGGTGGTATTCTTCATTCTCATAACCAAATGTTTCCAGGGGGAATAAGGACTGGGAGCGCAGACGAGCAGGGGTGATGGATACTGGATGACGAATGGCAGCATGGCAAGGCACGGATGAATAAAACCACGATGGGCGGCGTTTGGGGAGGTACAGGGATCTTATAGTATGACTTGACTTGATAGAAGTATGGCTCGGGCTGCACTCCAGGGATGGAAGCTGGAGGTGGATAGTGGATGCTAGGTAGTGATTTGACCATTTGCGTCCCAAATGATGAGACAAACAAGCTGTGACTGTTGATGTGCGGCTGTCGTAACCCGGGTTCTACTGGCTCATGACGTCAATTGTCGAGTACTTAGTACACTGGTATTGTAGGTGGTGTGATGGTGCATGCGTGCCAGACAGAGCCAGTCATGTTGTCTTGCAGTGACAATCCTGCAGCAGTCGAGGGACATACATCCTGTCCACCAGGCACTCGGTAAATATAGGATGCAGTACAATGCCCAAACGACCGATCAGGGGCACTGAATCTGACTGAGGTACCGTACGGAGCAACCCTATGCTTGATAAATGCTAGGTACTAGGTATACCTTAGGTAGGTATGTATGTATGTAGTTACGGTATGTTCGTTGCACGCCCCCATGCTCTCCGTCACCTCCGCGAACCAGCATCCGTTGTCGAGCTTGAAACAAGAAAGAGAAGGGGAAAGAAAAAAAGACCCAAAAAACAAAGTCTACAAGTCGACATTCTGTACAGAGCAGACCAACCCCCCCCTTTCTTCCGGACAATCAACCGACCCCTTGCGCAAGTCCAAAAGAAACAAGTTACATACCCTCGCCACTGGTTCCTGTCCATCGGGATCGACTAGTGCGGTTCCTGCAGGGAGGCTTTTTTATAATTTGTGGGGTAAGGGGCCGACGTGGGCGCGACGTGGGCGCGACGTGGGTCCTCTCCTCCAGAAAAAAAGGGAAAAGGGAAAACAAAAAAAAAAAAGGATACTAAACTGCACTTCGCATCATTGGCATGGGCATCCTGGCGAGAGGGGGGTAGACACTCGAGTGGAGTCGGAAAGGGGGAAAATCTGGGGAAAAGGCAAAAATGGCGCACTTGGTTTTGGCCTTTTTGGGCTTCTTTTTTTTTTTTTTTTTTTTTTTTTTTTTTTTTTTTTTTTTTTTTTTTTTTTTTTTTTTTTTTTTTTTTTTTTTTTTTTTTGTGGATGTGGCATGTTGCTGGTGGAATGGATGTGCGTAACAAGTTTCCGGAGGCTTGATGCATGTAGGGACTATCCTTGCCTTGCCACGTTGGGGTACGGGCTGGCCGAGCTTACCCATGGGACTGAGGAGTTGGGATGACAAGAGGGACGTTTGTTACATGTGTGGGTGTGTCGTAGGAACGACGGCTTCGGGGAATGCAAGCGTTGCGGAATTATTTACCCTTTCTGTTTCCGTTTTGCTGTTCCCTTTTTTTTTGTCTGCAGTCGATCCTCCTGAATATGGGCCTGAGGGTTCGATGATTCTGGTATGGTTGGTGGTATCTTTGCCTGCCTCGGTCTCAGGTACCTAGGTAGTTCCTTCTGGGCATGGCAAGCATGGCAAACGCAAAGGGGCAGCCGGTATGTGGTGAATAATCCATTGGCTACCCTACCCAAATTAGCAGACATGCAGCACTCTAGTACATCTACATCTATATCTACATCTAGTCTACGCCTTGGTCGTCGAGGGGGCCCGCGCCGCCAGCAGAGCCGCTGTGCGTTGCCTTTCGCAGCATGCCACTTGCGCCGCCTCGCGTCCACGCTTTGCCGTTGGTGACGACGTCCAATGCTCGCCGCTCGGCCTTGTCTCTGCTGTTCGCCTTGGGACTGCCGGCGTCCTCGTCCTCGTCCTCGTCGTTGTCCGTGTCCAGCAGTTCGTCTTCGAGCGACCTGCCGCGCGTTGAGAGGCGCTGCATGCGCATGCCCTGCGAGCCGTCGGCGTACAGGTTCGGATCACGCCCTAGCACGCGGTCTGCTTTACCCAGTAGTTTTCTTGGTGCGTTCCTGTCCGCGGCACTTGTCTGCGTACATTGATTTGGATTTGACGGGTATCCCGTGTCGTCGTCGTGGCCGCCCCAGCCCGCGCTGATTTCTCTTGCGCGCTGCTCCTCGCGCTCACGCTTGATGCGGTCTCGTGCTTCGAGCCACTTGGGGCTCGCTTCCCACGACCAGCCGTCGCCCGTCGTGTTGCATATCGGGATGGCCCAGAGCCAAGGATTTGGCCCTAGCAGGTGCCGAAGGTTCTTCTTCCACCCGAGGTCAAACGCGCTCGGAAGCTTTGTCGAGTCCTGCTCGTCGAGGTACTCTTCGTACCGCCGCTGGGACTGCAGCCTCTCGTGTTCCTCGTACGACAGCTGCACCGGTTGAGGGCTGTCTCGCGGTCCTGGTGCTCGCCGCGCTGCCGCCGGGCTGTAGTTGAAGTCGTTGCTCGGTCTGCGCTCCTCGCCTTCCTCGGGCCTCGTAATCCCCGGCAGGGCGTTTGTGTGAAAGTCCACAAACTGCTGCGCTGCCTGCGGGAGCCGGTTTGCGGGATTGTGCGCCGCCCGGTAAGGCTGCTTCAGCGGCGACAGGTACCGCGTCTTTTCGAGGCATTCAATCGTCGTCTGCCCCTTGAGTGCGAGCATGACGTGCCATCCTGTGAAGACGCCCACCACGATGCCGATGATGCCGCTGAGGACGCTCAAAACTATGAAATTGACGGGCAGTAGTGCGTCCAGCTTCTCCACATCTTCTTCGATTATCTCCGACCACACCCATGTGCCGCTCACGGCGAATGCGTAGACACACAGAATCGTCGTGTATATGAGAAACAGCAAAAAGGCCTTGTAGTTCCGGAGACCCAGGCAGGTCGCTAGCCACGGACAGTGGTGGTCCATCTTGAGTACACACCGGCGGCACGTGGAGCAGTGGTGTGCGCGGTCCGGCTTTCGCGCCTGGCACTTTTTGCAGAAGCGAATCTCGCCGTTGCTCTTGACGGTGAAGGATGTCGCCGGAGGGTGGTGGTTCTGCGTCGTCGTCGGCAAGAGGCCGTAGCCGTCGCGGTTGGTTGTCGAACCGGGATCGGTAAAGACGGCCGTGGTGTAGGACCAGTTTAATAGCAGGTATATGACGACGCCGACTGTAGATGATGCGGTTCCTGTAAAACATAAACGTCAGACACGACTGTTTGCTCCTGCTTCTGGGGGGGTCAAACAGCAGCGCGGAGGTTATGTCGTACCTAACCAGCTCCCCTTGGGTGCAACTGAGCCCATCTCTACCACCATCCAGATCGCCCATGTTGTCAGTCCGTAGACAAATATCAGCGGTATGTACGTGGCTATTGCACAGCACGCACGCTCAACCGTACGCGCGCACCGCCGGGGCATCGTGGTCCCCTGGTTCGACGGCTCCCCGTCGAACTCGTGGCCGTCCAATGTGGCAGATGTGAGTGACTGGTGCAAACAAGCTTTGCCAATAACGATGCTAGTGTCTTGAACCCGGACAGTTAGTGGCTCGTTGTCATCAGATGTGACGTGAATGTCGTGATGGAATATGAGGAAAGGGATGATTCAAAGTCGCCAGGCTAGGGTCTCCGAGATGACGTGGGCGCCATTGGTGCTGATGCTGGCTGTGGTTTGTGTGGTCACTTGTGCACAAAGGCAGACACAACAGCAGGCGAGGCAGCAGGGGGTTGAAGCATGGATCCGCGGTTCATTCGGCTTATTTTGGCCATCGGTGCCCGGGCTTTGTCATCATAGGCTACCCTGCACACCTCCAGGTGCAATGTATTCGTAACGTGATAGCAAACATAATTTAACCTCGAGCAAGTATTCTCAGTCTGTACTCCCTTTCCAGTCCCACCTGGATCTGCTATCGATGCAAGATGACCTCTTTAATCCATCAACGTATAATGTATTACAACATCTTGTGCCCACGAACCAATACATCTCAGCGATCCATTGTTACCAATGCACCTGTCCGTGATCCTTTGAAGTGTCCTTCGCCCCTCGAAACGTAGCGCGAGCAGTTTTTGCAGTCTTGTACTGCAAAGTCCCGTCCTCATTTCGCTTCCCCTCAACGTCCACAATACCAGCCGTCAACTGATCCAAGTAGGCCTCGTAATTATCTGTATCACGGATTTGACACTTCACCGAGCTCGACTCGACGTGGGAGGTAATTGCAGTCAACGTTTTGAAAACTTTCTGACAATATGGGCAGCGATAGGTCCTGTTGCCATGGGCAGGTGATCGAAGATGCGAAATCAACTGACCTTGGCTTTTGAAGCATTTTCTAGAAAAAGTGAGAACTTGTCCAAAAATTAGACGAATCCCCTGAAACGACACTTACTCACCCGCATCTAACATTGGGACAAATGTACTGCTCAATGATATCGGAATAGTATTCCGCCGCATTAAAGGCCGGGTTATCGGGGTCATCAGCGTCCATAGACTCAAACATCATTCGGGGACTCGGTGTCGTAGCAGTGTCGAGCTGAGATCTTGTTGGCCTCTGCGCAGGAGAGGCACCAGGAAACAAGTTTTTCTCCCTCCCCCATGCTGTCTTTGCTTCACCCTGATGACATTCATCTTTATCGCTCTTTGTGGTCTCGCTTGTGGTATGCCCAGCCTTGTTCGAAAGCTCTGGGAATCCCACCTCTGTGAAGCTAAACCCCTGATCGCGTACATCTCGCCAAATATGTCTCGGGCCCCCGCCCTGCTTGGGAGACACATAACTAGTGTAGTTATTCTTCACAGATTCCTTGGTAAGTTCCTCGAGCCGCCTCGGAAAGTCAAGCTTCTTCTCTCGCATTTCGTCAAGCACCGCCTCATCGAGGCGAGTACATTCACCTTTCTCAATGTGCGATATGAGGCTTGCCAGGCGGGGAAACGGGCCTCGGCCACAGCCAGGACAGTCGAGCTTTTGTTGTTTGGGATGGTTCTGGATAATGTGTCAGTTGCTAGTAGTGCTAGTATGGCATATGAAGATGGATGGTAAACCTGGATGACGTGGGAGTTTTCTGCCGCTTGAGTTTTAAAATCTTGCCCACAAAACTTGCAGTGGATATGGTTTTCAGCACCGCTATCACGCATATACTCCTTGTGCTTGAAGATGGCCTCCCAGGTGGCAAAGACGCGGTTGCAAGGCTTGCAGTACCAACGACCATCTTCGCGTACGACGGACATGATGAGACTGTTGGGAGCTGACAATCTGTAGAGTTTATTGACGTGTCTGGGGAAGGTGTTGAACAAGAGATAACGAGGAAGAGAAGGAGGAGAGGAAAGTAAGTAATCTCGTGGTCGGGCGGGTAGATTATTAGGGCCGGTTAGGAAGTGGCGACTTCCCTTTCCACCTGCCATTTGACTCTGGCATCTATTTGCGTTATGCTTTGAAGCCACGTGTGCATCCAAGCTTAATTCGCTACGTAGAATCAAGAGCCTTTGGATTTAATTATGTTAATCTAACTCGGGATACGCCGAATGGCCCATGTCCATTTCAGCATCTTCAACACCATACTGGTGGTCCCCGTACTGTTCCATCTGGTTATAATATCCAGTGCCAGGGTACTCCTCATTATCCGACCCATCGTCATCTTCATCATCATCATCGTTGTAGTCGTCCTCATCTCGTTCACTGCCAGAATCTTCATCATCAGACTCCATTCTATCTGTGCCAATCGCACTGCTATCGATAAACGGAGCAGGAGATATCTCAGGAGCCACACTTGGACTCTTCCCGATGTCCCGGATCCGAACATTGTATCCCGTACTCTTCTTTTTTGATGGCTCCCTCCCGTGGAGGACAGTGTGCTCCTCTGTCGTAAGATGTAAATTCGGCAAGGGAAGGTGGAATGTACTTGACATAAATCGGGTCGGAGTTGCATCGCCAACTTCCAATGTCTGTGCAAAGTCTTCCTTCGTCAAGTGCCTTCCAAACCGGATAGCCACCAGTTTGGTCTTCATTATTGCCTTGACTTTTGCCCATAAGCCACCGTGGTACCAGCCACTATTCACGTCGCACTCAGGGCGTACTGACGCGTTGTCGAGTAATTCTTTCAGTAGAGAATCGGTAATATCGCAGACCTGCCATACCTTGCCGTCCGTTTGATATGACTTTCCGTCAAAAATGTGACTGTCTGCTTCTATGCTGGATGTATTCTGTGATTCACCAATCTGCGTCTTGCGAAGTGACTGCCACGGCTGGTGCTTGATCGTGCGCTTGTGCTTCTTAAGCTTGAACATCAGCGTCTGATAGATGCGATACTTGGGATCGGTCCTAGGATCGGTGCCGTAGGGAACCACACTATCTCTCCATGGGCCGCCTTTGAACTGATAAGCTGCGTAGTTGAGATATTTCTTCAATTCGTTCCAGCTTTGGAGCTTGCCTCGCAGGTGATTGAGCAAAGACCGACGGGTCCACAGAGGGCGATGGTGAAAGGCGTCTTCTAGTTGAGCTAGGACCTCGATCATTCTGGGATCCGTCATATCTGGCGGCACCTGCGGCCCGTCTGGAGCCGGGTCTTCTGCACCAATGAAATACCCTACTTGCTTGACTGCAGTCAAATTGATTGTGTCGCCGTCCTCAGTCGTGCGGACGTACGGATTCTGCGAGTAGAAATAGTTGAATGGCAAACTCATGTGCGTGAAGATGGGCGGAGGAATAATGTCAACATTGGGAGGACGATCTGTTCCACTTCGAAGGGTGAACTCCTTCAATTTTTGAACTAGTCGTACGTTGGTTAGTACAAGGCCACGGGCATGTTTTCCGCAAGGGATACACACCGTCTCCTGGCAAAACTTGCTCAGCATATCTCTGAGCAAACTCTGATCGATTCATATCCCAGTAAAAGTCGGCTAAAGCACGGAACCGATGCGTATGTTTGATAATACCAACCGCTTCGACGTGATATCTTCCAGCATTGTCTTGAAGCTTTCTCCTCAGAACCTTGGGCTCATCCAGTCGTGCAATCGATTGCACTTTTTCCTTGTCATTGGTTTCAGGCGCATCTGATAGACTTACATCTCCCTGCCACGGGCCGTTACTTCCCCGTCTCCGTCTGCGGCCTGTTCTCTTGGGGACGGTGACCTTGAGAACCACGTTGTGAGATGCGGCGTTATGAGACATGATAGGCCTGCAAAAGGGGCTTTCTGGATTCAGATACAAGGGCACTGAGTTCCTTAAAGGGTCCATGAGCTTGAAGGCGAGCGTTTAGAACAACTGAACAGATTGCAGTGCAAAACAACTGAAGTAAAACTTACGTGTGCTAGATTCGGGACTCTTCCAAAGGCCTTGACAGCCCGATCAATATTTTCCACGACGGCAGGTATTTCCACTGCGACCAAGTCCCGCGGCGGTATGCGAAACCGTGGTGCTCCCTCTTCTTCTGGTTCATGATCCGACAGCGGCCCTATTGTTGATGGACCAGCCACCTCGTCATCTGAGAGTGGTTCCATGGCGCTCAAGTGCATCAGAGCGTCATGTCTGATGGCAGTGCCTGTGACTGAGGAAGAGATTGCAGGGCTTGGTGGCGGAAGATTATGCAGTGGGATCAATTGAGGCTTCCTGGCGCCGAGCTGATATTGGTTTGCTGGCAGATATCCGGATGAAAAGGGCGTACGGATTCGAGAATGGCGCCTTTTCTCCCAAGTATCGTGACTTGATTCGTTTCTGTTGAATGATATTGTGTCGTATTAGAGGCGGTTCTGAAGAAGTTGAATAACAGCTGTGAGTCGAGGTTCTACATTCGGACTGGTGCTGGAGCTCTGATTGTGGTCCGTGCGCGCTTTGCCACTCCTCGTCAGCAAACAGACAACAATTCCTCCTCAACAAGAGTCAGGTGCTGGTGGTTTCTAATTAGTACCACTGGAAGAACTGTCTGGTGGGTTGTACAGCACGCTAACAAGGCCCGAGATCCGCCCACCTGCACCGTGTTGCTAGTACTTCTACAACACATAGTCTTTCTCGTCGCGTTTCGGCCTGTTGATTGGGCGGTCAAAGGAGCTAGAAACGGGTACCTTACCTGGGTAGGTACTTTACTCTATTTGCTTGATGGAATGATTCAACTGGTGATGCCATTTCTCTCGCTCAACTGGACGCATCGCTCTGCGCAACGTTTTGTCCCATGATAATCGAAGCAGAGCGAGGTGAAAGAATTGGTGCTCGAGAGTATTATAGGTGCCCAGGTGTGCGAGGCATTGCCGCTAATTTTGATACAAGAAACTAATAGAACAAGTACCGAGGTATCCAAGTACCTTGTGCCCAGCCCCAGCCTGCCAGTTGCATCGACTTCGACTGCTGTGCGGTGCTGCATGTCGCACCTTGGAGCCCTTCATTTACGTCTGGTGTGTGTGCATGGCCAGCACCAGTTTGGCTGGTTGCTGCTACATGTGCCCACCTTTCCTCCAATCCAATTGCGCAACTCCCAAGCCCAAGCAAGCCCAAGTCAAAGCAGCAGACAGGCCAGAGTCGACGCCTCAAGCATCTGGGCTGCAACCCCCTGCCGTCAACGGGACTCTCCTGCAGCTGGCTGATGGGCCTGGCAGTCACGCCTGGCTGGTTGCTTCTACTCTGTACTCCGTGCGGAGGTGAAGTCGAGATATTTGCGCGCACTAGCTGGTAGTTGACTTTCTTGCATTTCTTGCACCTCCCTCAGATACCGACCCCGACCCTGCACGTGAGACTCTGCAGGCTTCTTGGCCACCGTGGGAACTGGAGTTCGATGTACTGCGGTTAGTCTCTGAGGACAGAGACGGGCGCAGATCGGCTCTCTCAAGCGCCCAAGTGTACTGCACCAGGTTCCATAGGACACACGACGACGATTGACGGCTCATCAGAATCGCTCTCGACTACTCCGTAATCAACTCGACTGGTGTTGCCCGCTCGACCGTCTCACCCAAGTCCTGGTTGAAGCACCCAAGTACCCAAGCACCCCAGTGCCCAGCTCACCTTTCCCCCTTGGCCCCCGTTGGCCTTGGCTGTGTTGACTGACCCCCGTTTCTCGAGCCAAAGCTACCCCACCGCAGCAATCAGTCGCAGACTCGACCTCGCAGCAGCAAGCGTCCGCATCAGCAACGCCAACAACGCCAGCCCGTCCGCCGTCCGTCGTCTACCGTTTACCGTCCGAGCCTGCCTCCCGTCAACCCCATCGTCGACGACGAACACGAGAAGGTAGATGCTGTCGACGACCAACATGAAGCGCTTTGGCAAAGGACTAGTAAGTCATCTTGCCCGACTTCCTTCTTGATTGACAGACCACCCATGGCCCCATGGCCCCATGACCTCATCCTCATGCGTCTGTGTTTGGATTTGGGCTTGGGCTTGGGCTTCGCTTTGGGTCACGGCGTCGTCATTCCATCTGTATCAATTATACGCGATGGCGCGGTCTGCTAACACGCTCTGCCCCCTCCTCCCAATAGCTCGCGCGAGGCAAGGATGCCAGCAAATCCTCCAAGAAGAATAAGGATTCCAAGGATGGCACGTCGTCCCCTTCGTCCCGAGACTCGTCGAACCAGTCTCCTGTCCTGACGCCCACCTCCTCCTCCACCACGCTCAACGACATCCGCAATAAGCCTTTACCATCCAACACCACCGGACACGGCGACCATGGAGGTCCAAACCAGCCGTCAAATCCAGGCCAGCAGGGCAATGTTCCCGATCGATTTGGCCCCATGGGTGGTGCTTCGAGCCCAAACGGTGGCAATGCCAATGCCAGATTACCCCCCACCGTTGTCATAAGCCCAACCCCAGGAGTAAGTAGACTTATTCTTGTGCCTCGCGGGGCAATTGATGGTACTCTGATGTTGACGCCTCGGCAGCATATCCCGCCCCCTGGAGCCGCCGAAACTATGCCTCACGACCTGGCACCCCCCAAGGCGGGTCAGAAGTCACTCATGATCCATCGAGGCATTGACAACCGCGACGCCATTCCCGAAGGTCTGCGAACTCCCAAACGACAGCACTCGTCTCGATTCGACATCTCCGCTCACCGGGAACTGGAAAAACTACCGGGCTTCCACGAAGTTCCTCCTAACAGGAGACAAGAGCTTTTTATGCAAAAGATTGACCAATGCAACGTCATCTTTGATTTCAACGATGCCAGCGGAGACATGAAAGCCAAGGAGATCAAGCGCCTGGCATTACACGAGTTGCTCGACTATGTTGCCAACAACAGACAAGTTATCACGGAACCCATGTATCCGAGAGTCGTCGACATGTTTGCCAAGAACTTGTTCCGACCCATCCCTCCCCCGATGAACCCACAGGGCGAGGCGTTCGACCCAGAGGAAGACGAGCCCGTCTTGGAGGTCGCTTGGCCGCATATTCAGGTAGTCTATGAGTTCTTCCTTCGCTTTATAGAGAGCCAAGATTTCAACACCAACATTGCCAAAGCCTACATTGACCATAGCTTTGTCCTGCAACTTCTCGACTTGTTTGATTCCGAGGACCCTCGAGAACGAGACTTCCTAAAGACGACCCTTCACCGTATTTATGGCAAATTCCTTAACCTCCGATCCTTCATCCGCCGATCCATCAACAATGTCTTTTTCCAATTTACGTACGAGACGGAGCGCTTCAACGGCATTGCCGAATTACTCGAGATTTTGGGATCCATTATCAATGGCTTTGCCCTGCCGCTAAAGGAAGAACACAAGATCTTCCTGACCCGCGTTTTGCTTCCTTTGCACAAGCCCAAGAGCTTGAGCATGTACCACCCACAGTTGGCCTACTGTATTGTACAATTTTTGGAAAAAGATGCGTCTCTTACTGAAGATGTATGTGGTTCCTATTCCTCTCCTCGTGCTACTGATATGTAAGACTAATGCGTGTCAACTCTTCAGGTCGTTCTTGGCCTACTTCGATACTGGCCTAAAGTCAATAGTACCAAAGAAGTCATGTTCTTGAACGAGGTTGAAGACATTTTCGAAGTCATGGACCCAGCCGAATTCGCCAAGGTCCAGGAACCGCTGTTCCATCAACTCGCCAAGTCCGTGGCTAGCCCTCACTTCCAGGTCGCAGAACGCGCGCTTTACTTCTGGAACAACGAATACTTCTGCAATCTTGTCAGCGACAACGTAGAAATAATTTTGCCCATTATGTTTGCGCCGCTCTACGAGAATTCTAAGGGTCACTGGAACAGGTATGAACCATTGATTGGGAAGCCTCCTAGGGTGCCTTCTTTCTTTTGTTTTTATGCTAATCACCCTGCCAGGACGATTCACGGAATGGTTTATAATGCTATGAAGTTATTTATGGAAATCAACCCTCAGCTGTTTGATGATTGCTCTCACGACTACACCGAACAGCAAAATAGTGCAGCCGAGCGAGAGGCACTTCGAGAACGCAAGTGGGCTGCCTTAGCAGAGAAGGCTGATCAGCGACGAGTATCTGGCGGCGTTGCTGATGCCCCTTCACGACCACAAGTTGGCGGGGTATTGTCAAGGGTGGATGAAGTAGACCCGGTTACTGAGGATAACCAAAAGCGGCTTGATTCACTTAAGCTGCAGGATGCTGCAGGCAGACGGCCTGGTGGCCATGAACGACAGAACTCTCAGAGCTCTGCCCGAAGCAGATGATCATCCTGTTTCCCGGTCGTATTTCTGCAAGAAAATCCTGCCTTAGCCATCTAAAAATACCAGTTGATATCGCGATGGCTATATATTGCGGGAAATCTGGTAATTTTCCAAGGAGAATTACATTGGATTAGCTGATATACCTGGAGATGATGCTACAGTAGTTTCCTGGGGCATACCAACAACACGAACAGAACTTGACTGATTGGGGTAGTCGCATGCTGCCCCTTCCTCTTTTACGGCTATCATGACACATTTTGCAACATACTTATTCGGCTTTGTCCTTTGTTCCGGTGATTGTGCGGACATTAATTCGTTCTACAATGCGCCTTTTCCCAATTTACTACCAAAAAGGGACCCCCCCCCCCTAGGGGGTTGGTGGATTGCAGGGCTCCTTTTATTATTTTATTTTTCTTTCTTACACTTTCTTCCACATTTGCAAATTGGATCCAGGGTTGAGTGGAACAACAGAAAAGCGCTTGAGAATTTGCATCAAACTGGCATGTTTGGCATTGTTCTCGCATTTTTGCCTCTTTATTTCGATCTTCTGACTCTGTCGGGAAAAAGTGATTGGAAGCACATGAGGCGTGAGGAGTTGTGCCAAAACACCCTTGTTCGGATGGGGAAAGCAAAGGGGCGCAGGAAATGTAGGTAGCATGGAGAAGTGTAGGCTGTGGGTGGCTGGCTTCGTTGCTATTTTGTAGACGGCTGGTGATATTCCAATAGATTTTTCCTACTTGTTATTGTCAGGACTGTGTTGTGCTTTTAATGACATAGTTCACCTGTGTTGAGCATTCTTATTCTGCACTGTGTGGACCATGTTGTTGTTGAATTTACTGATTGTGACAAGGCACAACGTGACCACATGTATCTATATTGACTACCTAGGTAGTTATCATCCTTGGGGTTTGGCATCATCTTCCTCTACTGTAGCCCCTTCCACCGCCTCGGTGGTATCCCCTTCCCCGTCCTCTAAACCCATCATATCCACCCCATTGATTATAATTGTTATATTGGGCTTGGGCTTGGGTTGGTGGTGGAGGCGGCGGGGGAGATTGCCCGTTCCACACACCCATCATCTGAGCTGCAAAGGTAGGATCTGGCATCCAGCCTTGTGGAGGAAGGGGAGGAGGCGGCGGCGGCCAAGGACCTGTGTATCCTGCCGGTAGGGGGGGTATGGGCATATTGAATGGCATACTGGGGTTGGCAGTTGGCTGGGGAGATGGTTTCGGAGAGCCGCGACGGGGACTGCTGCTGTAGGATCTGCGGCGGCTGCGGGTTCGTGATTGCGAGCGTGAGCGTGAGCGTGAGCGTGAGTGCGAGCGTGAGTGCGAGGCTGACCGCGGGGTGTAGCTTCTGCTGCGGCTGCGGCTTTGGCTTCTGGAAGGCGACACGCGCCTGCGTTTAAAGGATCGTGATGAAGACCGACGGCTGCGCGAATAGCTGCGCACTGACGATGGAGACTTGGACCGGCCTCTTTGTTTGCCTTGTTTGCGGTCCTTCATTCGTTCACAGAACCGTCTGGACCAGCCGTAGTATGTCTCTCCGCCAATGACTTCACCAGTAACTTCATCCAATACGATTTTTTCGCCCATTTCATTCACGTCGATATGCGAGTCGTCATCTGGTCTTCTGTCGTGGGAGAAGATTCTCTCCGCGTCGGAAAGCAACGCCTTTACCGCAGCGGTGACGACTTTATCTGCCGGACCTGGGGCGAGTTGAATTGGACGAATGAGATCTGGAAGCATTGGCTTTGTGGAATTCGGCACCAGGTGAGGCAGCCACGTCGCTGCCGGTAAATCGTACCATGCTGTCGATGCGTCGCCGTGAAAAGAGGGCATTGTGAAGGGCGTCTCCTTGGCGAGCTTGAGAGACGTATTGACTGGTTCTGGGGCTGCGGAGACGGACGACCCGGCGATGGCTTCTTGAAGCTTGGGAATCACGGCATCGGAAGCGTATTGTTTTGATTTCCATATGAAAACGAGATCTTGCAGCTTCTTGATGTGTTTCGGGCATTTTTCGAATGAGGCGGCAGCGCTGATCAGCGGAGGGAGGTACGCTTCCACGGTGGCACGGAAGTCTTGGTTTCCCTGGCGCGCAGCGTGGTGCAGCACGTCGTTGACAATGTAGAGCACGTGTAGACGACGGCGTTTTGTGCTGGGACGAGGGTGTGTCGCGTCATCGACTTGTGCGTTTGACAGGGCGACGAGGTATTTTGCAAGCGCGGTGCTTCGGCCACTAGAGTGGATTATGTTGCTGAGGATGTAGTCTTTGCAGGTCTGTATGGTGATTTCAAGAGACACGATTTTAGCATGGCTACGAGGAAAGCATCGAGAAATAGTTTTTCTCGTTGTTTAACCCGCCTACACGGGGGCGGAGACAGAAAACTGCTCGAAGGGTGGTCTAGTGCAAACCTGGACATTGGGGCGGGAGCACTGCGTCAGTGTTGAGGCGACTTGTTGAAAGAAGGTGTCAACTGAGGGACGGCTGATGGATGCTGGGTCGGCGCGGAAGAGAGATGCTGAGAGGGCAGCTTTGGCGATGGTTAGTTCGGGGGTCGCCATGGCGCGCGGGGGGTTGGTAGATGGCGAAGTCGACGATGAAGCTTGAGATGGGATGTTGCGAGCTGGCAGCTCTTTGATCGTGATTTTGGTGTTGTAGCTTGATGATAGTTTGACCAATGGGGCGGTGGTTTGTGGGGCGTGGCCTGATACCAGTTGCAGGAGACGTGGTGTTGCGAAACTTTGCGGTTTTATCATGAAGGTCGTGGTAGCGGCGTGCTTTGTTGATTACTAGATTGCATTTAGCTCAGTACATGAGTGACGTATTTATTTAGCTGAATTTGAGAAATTTGGGCCGCCTTTGAAGCCGTGGTAGTGTGAGCTGTCGCTTGATTGAGTGGGAGGAGGAACGCCGACGATGAAGAGAGGTGTGGTCACTAATTTTCCCCCGTCCCCTATACATAAGAAACTTAAAAAGTGAGAAATATTGGTAGAATAAGTGTTCATATATAACTCAAAGGTAAAGCACGTATCATACAACCCTTTTTTGCCCTCGCCGATATCTCCATTACACAAACAGCCAGCCTGCGGTACGCCCCCTGCGGCTATCTCACCGTCAACTGCTGCTTTTTGCTCACGTCTTGTGTTATGAAAACCGATCCCCCTTCGGACTCCTATAAGGCGTCGAGCTCTCATATTTGCTCTTCTCCCTCGTCTGCTGCGACTCTGTCACCGCAGCATGTCTCGTCGCAGCCGGATCATTGCTCGCCTCCTGGCTCGGCGAGCCAGCTGTGTCTGTGATGGCAGGGGCGCCGTTACCGTTGGTGACTGACGAAGATGTCGACCCGGGGCTCGAATACTCTAGCGACCGAAGGTCTTCCTTCTTCTTGCGAGCGGCTTGAAGCTTGGCCTGACGGTCGGCGTTGATTTCTCGTTTGGCAAAGTAATATGCGCCCGCGCCGGCTGCGGTTGGTAAAGACGAATTCTCGTGTTAGATGGTGTCCTAGGGGAATATACTGTGGGGGATGAGCAAATATTGAGTCTTACCGACACAGAGGGAACCCCAGCCCATCCTGAATGAAAGATGGTGTTAGTAGTATTGCAAGGAAGCTCCGTGATCGGCAGACGGAACAAACCAGAAAGATTTAACCTATTGGCACAATGTTAATGCTGAATAGGAGGCAATTAGACAAGAGTCCGCTAGGGATTCTCTCACAGTATTCATTTTGCGATTGATTGATTGATCGCGTGCGGTGTACGGAGTATATAATGGTAAATGGTGGAGGTGTAGATGGTGAACTTATTTTCAACGGATCATCAACGGCGCAGGTGGATTTGGACGCTTACATTGTCTAGCCACAGTGGCTGAGGCGAAGCTGGGTTTCGTCTAAACTTGGTCCGACAGCCGAAGCATCGGCGGCTTTGGGCAGGTCAAGCACGCACGTGTGGCAGGTGCTAGTTACAATTTGGGCATTTACGGGAGTACCTAGTAGTTACTAGTTGATGTCTCATGTATTGTCGACTTTCTGAACATTGAAGCCGAATGCACCTCACAGGTGGCTGTTGCAGCAACTGCTGATCGCCGACTACCGAGGTACGGGATCATGAGGCTCAACTACCTAGGTACTACTATACCTTTTGCTCGACATTTCCTCAGATGCTCTAGTTACCCGTTTGTTTCACCCTGCGCCTTTACTTGGTGCATTTGGACACTGCTTGTGGGGGCTGAAATGTCTGGGTCGTGGCTCAAGCTCTCGTGCTCCTTGAGCCGCCAGGAAGCACCGCCTCAAACATGATGACCGTGGCGTTGAGCCTCTTGGGCTTGTATCAGACAACCCGTCATGACTGCCTTAAGCAGACCTTAACCTCGTGCTTGCTTGTTCACTGGAAAATTCCCAGCACCCTGGTTGGTGAGTCCAAAGTTAGAACCGGACACTTTGGGCACCCTGCTGCGGCGGAGGCTGAAGCCCCAGTCGAGTCGTTTCACAAGCTCCGCCATCCGCACTGTACGGTGCCGAGGATGTCTCACCCGTTGCCACAGTGTCTAAAGCCACAATCCATGACAGTAATGACGATCCCCTCCACCGCCTCCAACTCCAGAGGGGGAGGGGGGAGAGAGGACCAACTCGTCCTTGTCGACAAAGACCAACAAGACACGCAAGCCGCCCCGATCGCCCGTGGCATTCTCCCAGCCAGCTGTTTATTCTTTTTCCATCGACAACTGCCTTTTTGACCCTCTGATCATTTTGATCATTTGTCCCGCGGCTGCTCAATGTTGACAACACAAGACCGCGTGGCCCGTCAGCGTGTTCCACTTTCAACGTCAAACGACTACACCATCCCGTATTGCCCACGACTCGTTTCGTTTGGCCCATAGCTTTTCTCCCTGTACCCGATTGCCTCAACTGAGGCATCTGGGGCAATCTGGCCATTGGTTCATCAAGGCAACGAAGTCTTTCGCATTTGTTCCCGCCACAACTTCTTCAACGCAAAGCCAACCCTCGCGGGTATGATTTAACGTTGGACCTTGCAAAGAATGGGTGTACAAGGAGTTCATGCCCCAAACTCATGTCCCCAACACCACACCAGCCCCCACCATTGTTGAAGTTGGCATCCCATGTCATCACATCATTCTCCTACCATGGAGCCGCTGGGCAATGATAGGCCTGATGGTTCCTCTATAGTAAGTACAAGCCATCTTCGCATCATGTGGAGATATAATTATTGCTCTCCTCTCTAACGTGCCCAGAAACCTGTGTCCTCCCTCCTCGCGCGGTTCGAGAATCTAAGTCAATCTGCTCCTCTCGTCCCTCCTCAAAATGCGCCTTCGAGGTCCATTTCTCCAGCCCCCAAGCCTGATAGATTACGAGCTTTGAAATTATCGCAAGATCCTCCTCCCTCTACCAGTCCAGCGTCAGCGCTCGCAACTCCTCTTGCAGCAGCTCCCCCAAAGACATCGGTTAAATCTCCTACGAGACCAATACAGCTCCACGCAACAGAACCAAACAGTCTCCCTGACGGAGCCCCTGCGCTAGCACATACATCTACGCGGCCACTGGTGGCCGGCACCAAGTCACCAGCTTTGACAATGCCTCCGCCGCCAGCTCTCAAAGTCCTGCCACCTCAATCTCCGCCCAAGCCTCAATCTCCGGCTGTTGTGTCTGCCGATCAATCGCCATTTTTAGATCCGACGACTGCTACATCGCAAGAGCTCCCAGGCGCTTCGCCAATACCCATCAAGCTACCCAGTCGGCCCATCACTCCGATTCACCCTCTCTCTGCTCCTCGTTCGCCTCGCTTGACTTCAACACAGCCTCCATCACCACCTCCTCCAAGACGGTCTGTCGAAATAAGGCGGGAACCGAGGCAACCTCCGCCGCCGCCAGCTCCCCGTCTCGACAAGTCCAGAAAAACGACTCCGGTTTCATCGAGTCTTTCGGATGCGCGCAAGATCAGCACGTCCAGTAAAGGCAACACTGTCGACGAGACGTCTCCCTTCAACAGCCCACCAGCCGGTCCGGAAAAGACTTTCGACGGAGACGAGAGTCCGCCTGAGCTACCCATGCGACCAAGAACAGAAGCGAACATGGACCTTGTCTCCAGACCTAAGCCTGCTGTAGGTGCAGGTTTTGAGCCGCCACCGGTACATCACTCTATAGCAGTCAGGAGAACAGAACGTGACCCGGTAGTGAATGGGACTACTAAGCCATATCTCATATCGCAACACCCTACAGATGATCGATTCGTCCACTCACCCAAACGATCGACTAGCGATCTGACGACGATGACATACGGCGCCAACAGCTACAGCTTAGACAAACCGCCTCCGAAACCACCTAGGCCAGCTCAACAGCGAACTTCTACCACGCAGGATATCTTATCCAGCTCTGCACCATCCGGACGGTCTCATCAGCAGCAGAAGCAGCCGCAGCCGCAATTGACCACTCGCCAGTTTCCCGCGCCGCCCACCGGGACTCATGTGGCTGTAAAGACGGTTGACCGGTCCGCAGATAGGGAGGTGCCCGACCCGCGAGCGCTCATGCTGCCTCCACCATCAATATCGGCCAATCGCCCAACGCCCCGTAGTATTTCGCCTGAGCCTGCAGCAAGTACAGAGCCGGCTGCACATGTGACGGTGTTTCCGGACTGCGCAAATGTAAATCGAAAACCGCCACATGCCAAAAAGGGCTGCCATGAGATCCAGACCAAATATGATCCAAGAATTTTTGATGTCTGTGGCGACCTGGCCTGTACCAGTGGCCAATTGACGAGAGTTTGGAATATCCGAGATGGAGAGCAGATTATGAGTCTTGCTCACACCGAAGGAGTCAGGGCAACTGCAGTTCTGTTTAAGCCAGCCGCGGACCCAGACCACGAGGGAGCCTTCATATGGATAGGTACCAATATGGGCGAGCTCATGGAGGTTGAGGTGGCCACGCAACGGATTACTGAAGTAAGGGCGGGTGTGCATGGTAAGGCGGAGATTACGAAAATATACCGACACTACAACCAATTATGGTCACTAGATGAAGGGGGCACACTCAATCTTTGGCCTGGTGACAGTGATGGGGTTCCGAACCTCAAAAGCCATCCTGTTACTCAGCCAAGCAGGCTTCCAAAAGGTGCCACCTTCTCTATGGTGGTTGGTAGCGAACTATGGCATGCAACTGGTAAAGCGATTCGGGTATTTGAGCCTTCAACTGACGGGTCCAGACCCTTCCAGGTGTTGGTTCGACCTTTGACTGCTGACGGTTGTGGCGATGTTAGTGCCGGGACCATACTCAGTTCAACGCCCGGCAAGGTGTACTTTGGCCATATGGACGGAAAAGTGAGTATTTTTTCATCGTCGGACTACACTTGTCAAATGATCTTGAATGTCAGTTCCTGGAAGATTAATGGACTTGCCGGTGTTGGACACAATCTTTGGGCAGCCTACAACACGGGCAAGATTTGTGTATACGATACTACCCAGCAACCCTGGACTCTGAAGAAGGAGTGGCAGGCGCACGATCAATCAGTCTTGAAGATGAAGATGGACCCATCGAGTGCCTACCGTATAGATCAGCTGCAGGTTGCATCTCTTGGCACTGATAGCAAAGTTAGGTTGTGGGACGGTATGCTGCAGGACACTTGGCTGGAAGATGATCTCAAGTCTAAAGATATCGACTATTGTGAGTTTGAAGAAATCAAAGCCATGGTCTTCACATGGAACGCTGGAGCATCAACTCCCCATAGCCTCCGATATTCGAAAGGCGACGGCGACTCTACCTTCTTCCAGGATCTGCTGCGGTCAAGCGGGTCCCCCGATATTCTTATTTTTGGCTTCCAAGAGCTAGTCGATTTGGAAGACAAGACAGCTACAGCCAAGCGGCTTCTCAAATCCAAGAAGAAGGAAGGGACTGAGCAAGAACGCATGAGTCATCAATATCGTGACTGGAGAGACTTTTTACTCAAGACATTGGACGACTACATGCCTGGCGATCACTTGTACCACCTTCTCCAATCATCGCCTTTGGTGGGGTTATTTACTTGCGTGTTTGTAAAATCGACTATTAGGGACAGGATCCGAGACCTCAACGCAGCAGAGGTCAAGCGAGGCATGGGGGGCCTACACGGAAACAAAGGAGCCATTGCGATCCGATTTCGAGTGGATGATACTTCGCTCTGTTTCATCAACTGCCATCTGGCAGCTGGACAATCGCAAGCAAACTCGCGTCACAACGATATTGCTGCGATTCTGGATGCGAGTTTATTTCCGACCGAGTTGGATCCAGAAACGCGACTGGACACATTCACCGGCGGGGGTGATGGGTCCATGATTCTTGACCATGAGCTTTGCATTCTAAATGGTGACCTGAACTACCGTATTGATACAATGTCTCGTGATACCGTGGTTAAGGCGGTTCAGCAACAGCAGCTCGCCAAGTTGCTTGACCGTGACCAGCTCCTGGTGGCACGACGCCGCAACGCTGCCTTCCGTCTGCGTGCGTTTGAAGAGCTTCCCATAACATTTGCGCCGACCTACAAGTATGATGTCGGCACGGATACGTATGACACCAGTGAGAAGAGACGAAGTCCCGCCTGGTGCGACCGTTTGCTCTTCCGGGGACAGGGACGGGTACGTCAACTGGATTACAAGAGACACGAAGTGCGAGCCAGCGATCATCGACCTGTTACGGGAAGTTTCCGCCTCTGGGTGAAGAAGGTTGATGCCGCAGGGAGGGCCAGGGCTTGGATGGAAAGTCAGGGACGGTTTGAGAGTGTGCGAGCACAGGTCATGGCCAATGAGAAGTGAGTGACTCACCATCTTGCGAGCAACAGAGTGGCCACCAAGGAACATGGACTTGCTAACCCATCTTAGAATGGCTTACCTTGCACACTACTGTGGATTCGACGAGGCAACAAGCCGGGCACTAATAGAAGAGAAATCATCACGAAAAGTACACCGGAGCCCGAGTAGGAATAGGGGCGGCGGCTATTAGAGCAAGCACATATATTTGCGTGTTGAATTTTTTAATCCTCATGGCAGGCGGGCATATCCAGCATAGCGTCGAGACGCATGTTTACGAGCAAATGGTGGTTAGCAACGGCAGGGACGGCGTACCGTCAAAACGCAATAGAGGGAGGGACGGGCGTTGACGGGGCTTATGAATGACTTTAACGGATAGGTGGTTTAAGGTGAGGTGGGTATGGCTACCTACCTAGGTAGGCACCTGGGTATATAATTGATGCCAAGATTAGATAGACTTGGTGATGCCCAAATTTTGACGTCGAGCATGATGACTGTAAGCTCATCTGGACGTCAAGAATAGTTAGTTTGTCATTCAAATGAGAAAATGACCAACTTCTTGAATGAACTCGGCAAGGTTCGTGTAGTTGAACAAGTTGGTTATTAGACGCTGCGCAGGGGATGTTTCTCCACGACGTAAGGGAACATAGAATCGAGGGGTAAAATAGGCCTGCTTGGGAATGAATCTAGGAATTCATGCCCGACCGTACGTCCGTTGTTTCCTGACGTGCATGGAAACCCCCGCCCGGGGAGCCGACGGAGTTGTAAGTAGGAGAGGTTCCCAAAGAAAGGAAGTCAGGAGGTACTCGGTCGACGACGGTAGCTCCGCTGACGGCAACTACATTGGGTCCACTCCCACCGGGCCTGGCCAATTACACAAGAGGAAGACCCTGGCAGGCCCCTTGGCTTTGGTGCTTATTTAGGTGGCAGCTTCTCAATGTCAAATCATGGATCTCAATGGATCTGATAAACCATTTCCATCCGAACTCTTCCTTGTCTCTCTGGTCTCCTCTTCACCAACGGATAACGGAATTTTACTACTAGACATAGAGCAACCGAACTTAGCAGCGACGCTTGCATACCTCAATCGCAGGCGGGCCAGCGGATTGATACCAGTGGGGAAAGGGGAAAGGAGAAAGGAGAAAGGAGACGAGGATCACCACAATCTCTCTCGACGAAGAAAAAAAAAAAACCACCACGTAGCAAGTCGCCGACATGGCAGCACAGGAGGCACATGAAGCGCCCCCAGCGGCAGCAGAGGTTCTCAAAGTCCCCCTCGAGGCACCCACGCCCGAGAGTACGCCCGAGCCCCGTCCAGAACTCACACCCGACCAGCAGACCAAGTACACGACGTTGCTAGAACGCGTGAGGTCCATCAGCGAGGTCAAGTGCACGTCCAAGAACAAGCAAGACAAGTCGGGGCCGACGACGGAGCACGAGCGCGCGTGGCTCACCCGCGAGTGCATCCTGCGCTACCTCCGCGCGACCAACTGGGCGGTGGGCGAGTCGGAGCAGCGGCTGCGCGAGACGCTCGCCTGGCGGCGCGAGTACGGGCTCGACGCCTTCACGGCCGACTACATCTCGCCGGAGCAGGAGACGGGCAAGCAAATCATTGTCGGGTTCGACAAGCACGCGCGGCCGTGCCAGTACCTCAACCCGGGGCGGCAGAACACCGACCCCAGCCCGCGCCAGATCCACCACCTCTTCTACATGGTCGAGCGCGTCGTCGACATGATGCCCCCCGGCGTCGAGAAGCTCAATCTCATGATCAACTTCAAGCCCAGCGCGCAGAGGCAGAATACGAGCGTGCCCGTGTCGACGGCTAGGGAGGTGCTGCATATTTTGCAGAGCCACTACCCGGAGCGGTTGGGCAAGGCGCTCATTATCAACGGTGAGTTTTTGTTTTTAAAAAGAAAAAAACAGAGAGAGAGAGAAAGAGATTGCTGACATTTGGTTTCTTTTTGGTGTTTTTTTTCTAATAGTCCCCTGGATCGTGCGTGGCTTCTTCAAACTCATCCAGCCGTTTATGCACCCGGTGACGCGCGAGAAGCTCAAATTCAACGAGGACATGAGGCAGTTCGTGCCGGCGACGCAGCTATGGAGCTCCGACTGGAACGGCGACTTGGACTTTGAGTACGACCACGCTGTCTACTGGCCTGCCCTGAACGACATGTGTCGGCGGAGGCGGGAGGAGAGGCTGGCCAGGTGGAAGGCCGCCGGCAGCCTGGTCGGCGAGTCGGAGGACTACCTTGCCGGCGGGACTGACGTGAGCGTCGGCGGCTTCAAGTACACGGGCGACGTGGATGTTGTGCAGGAGAAGATGGCGGCTGCGACGTTGGAAGACGGGGGAGCATATCCGGTTGCCGCCGCGTAGAACCTCCCCCAAGGGGAAGGGGTGAGTGAGAGGAGAGAGGTTTATCTGCGTTTTCATTTAATTTTTGCCATGTTTGTAAATCAAGAATAGCCCTGCGGCACATATTTTCTCTTTTTCTCTTTTGCTGTTTGCATAGAATAGCGTAATTATATAGACCTGCCCATTCTTCTTTCCCTCCCCTTCCTTTGTTGATGGGACCCGGCGCCACGCAGCGGCTCATGTTGTGTTCAATGTCGGCCTGTGCTGCTGCTCCAATGTCGGGAGTACAGATCAGGCGGGTGGACAAGGCGTCCAATCTCGAATGTCTTCAAGATGATGGCCAGGGGTATGGTCTCATACAGATGCAACAAGGCGCAGTCGGTCCGTCTTCCCATCTATTCCAGGACTGCTGTACTGACCCCCCTGCTTCTGTGTGACCTGTTGTGTCCGTTGCGTTCACTGACGGTACGATAATGGCAGACCAGCATTTCCCTTGTCTACGTGCTGGCAATTCCATGTGCAAAAGAGAAGGTAAAAGGACGCTTGCGGCCGCGGTCAACTCGCTGCCACAGCCACATATGAGATACGACAAAGTCAAGTTGCCTTCGCATTCTGTGTTTTGGCGTGAAAAGCCTCCAGCCAAGCGAATGCCACACTCCTAGATACAACAGCCCCTTCGTCCGCTTCACTATTCAGGGCTGGTAGCATCACGCATGACATTCACACAGGCATGTATAATGCAGACGACATGCAGTAAGACCAACTCATGGATGGCACTACCCCAGACCAACAAACAAACTCATCTCCAGCCATCATCCACCCACCGGATGTCGGGTGTTGCCGACACGTCACACGCACTTTTCAGCATGGAATTCCTAAAGGGTGCCTTGTTTGTGGTCCCTCTTGGTGCGTGCCAACATGTTTTTGGTTTCTCCTCCGTGCTCCCCTCTGCACTGTAACAAGATCCATGGCTCAAGCTGCCTGTTAAACGTGGTTGGATGGTCGAGGTCAAAGGAACGAGGCAACAGGGAAGAATTGCCAAACAGCGGTCCTGGGCAGCCGATTAGTGCCCAAACTTTTGGTGAACAGATCAAGGCATGCGGAGAGTGGTCATCGCCGTGAGCATCGTGTCAGGCGCGCGTCAGATGCACAGCAGTGGCTCTGCTTGAGCCATTCAAAACGAAGAGCTGGTTCACATTGATTCGACGTCGAACATGAAGTGGCCCTTTGAACTGACTCGAGTTTTGCGTCTGTCCATGTTCTATTCTATCTTCGTGATATCAGAACAATGCCGCCCGGGTCTTGGTGACCATGTGAGAGTGCGCCGAATGATTGGTTGTCCAGCCGAAAATGAACAAAAACTAGAAACCCATCAGGCGCAAGGAGCACCAGTGACCCTATTGAACTGGGGGAGTCCGCATTGGTGTACATCAGGCTGAGCTGAATGGGACAGCGTGTAGGCATCGTCGGCCGTACATACAACAGGATCCAGGACATTTTGGCCATTTGGTCAGGGCTGTGACTGGCCGTACCGAGTGTTCGTGGGCCGTTTCGAGTCGCACAGGACTATGCTCTGCGCGGTCCATGCAGTCCTTATATGATTGATGGCAGTGTCAACTTTGTCCACGCTTTGTTCAAACGCTGATTGCACACCAGCCCAGTTTACCACCTAGGCAATAAATCCTTGAAACATGTAGGCATTCAACCACCACGCAATAAGAAGTTGCCTCAACCTTTGGGCGGCGCTTAGTTCATGACGAGTATGGCCCGCAAGCGGACAGGCAATCAAGGGTCATGAGTAAAGACTTCGCCAATTCTCTACAGTTAATGAGTGAACTCGTCGCCAATGCAAACCACACAAATACTTGGCACGGAAATATGTGCCGGACAATCAGGCTGGGGTCTTGCTACTGTTTTCTCCCAGTTCAGCAAGACGTGCTCGATCTATTTAAATGGAGGCTGGGGCCGTTTTACCTCCTCACCATCACGGATCACCGGCTCCCAATTCTCTCACCACTTGTCTCACCAATCCTCTCACCAATCCTCTCACTTCTAATCCTCTCACCAAGATGGGTTCCGAGGTTCCTCCTACCTCCCAGCGCGGCTTTGGTCCGACTAGAGCCGAAGGTCAATCGGGCCCTTTGCCGGCGGATATCTTCAACAGCCTTCTTGCCACCGCTGGCCGAGCATCACCACTGACGCAATTCTTTTTTTTCATGTACCAGATGCTTGGTTTGCGACTGGGACCAGATCTATCAGTTATCCTGACGTTTCTTGGTGTGTTCTGGGTAATAATCAAGATGGGCAGCCAAGCGTACACTCTGGTTGACGGCTTCATCGAAAATCATTTGATGCATAGTGTAGTTGTCCCCCGGGAAGATGAAATCTACACTCATGTCATGAAGTGGCTGTCCAAGCAGGAACGCGTGGTTAAGGGCTCGTGCCTCGTGGTCCAGACCGTGAAGAACAGCGACCGCGACGACGACGACAACGACGACGACGAGGATCTTGAAAATGCAGTCGACTTCACATCCGGTGATGATGAAGACTCCAGTCAGCGACACCTCAACTTCTCGAAGCTGGTATCCAAAGTAGTAGGACTGCAACTCTCACTGTGCCACCATGTTTGATTGCTGACCCTTTCTGCAGCGTCATCGATACTACCCAGCGATAGGGAAGACCAGGTTCTGGTATAAAAACCAATACTTTGTCGTACATCGCACGAGGATAGTTATGCCAACTTCTTTCTTCGAGCCGAGTATGCATATTGAAGAGATCAAAACATCCTGTTTGTGGAGTTCGAGGCGTATGTTCAGCACCACAAGCCCTAAGTAAGACTCAACTAACGCTATGCTAGAGCCTATCGCCAAATTGATACTCGAAGCCACAGAGATGTACTGCAACGATATGAAGAAGAAGACCATAATATATCGACCCGAGCTTATGGAACACATTCACAGAGCCACTTCATGGAAGGTAGCCACAATGCGTCCCAAGCGATCCATGGCAACAATTATGCTTCCCGACGAGACAAAAAATCTCGTTTTGAATGACATGATAGAATTCCTAAAACCCCAAACTGCACGTTGGTATGCTGATCGTGGTATCCCCTGGCGCCGAGGATACCTCTTTTTTGGGCCGCCGGGGACCGGAAAGACGAGTTTTGTCGCTGCGATAGCCGCACATCTTGGGCTTGATGTGCATATTCTTGATCTGACTGAGCCTCATATGACGGATGCAAATCTTTTGAGACTCTTTCGTACTCTTCCTCCACGGCGCATCGCTCTGATAGAAGATATTGATGTATCGGGTATACAACGCGATGGAGATTCGAAAGGCGCCGAGACGAATCGAGTGGCAGCCAATAGGAGATTCATGATCACCGAAAGCTTTTCCTTTAGTGGTCTTTTGAATGCTATTGATGGTATGGCAGCGGAGGAGGGTCGCATCCTTATTATGACGACAAACAAGCGCGAGTTACTAGATGAAGCCCTTAGCCGTCCTGGCCGCGTGGATATCCAGATTGAGTTCCATAACGCCACAAGCCAGCAATCCGAGGCATTATACTGCCAGATATATGGGGATTTCACTCCCCTGAAGCCAAACAACGGGGCTCTGCCAGCTAAGAAGGGAATCAAGGATCAAAAAGACGACAAAGATGAGAAGCTGGTAGCAAGTGCAGCATCGCAGATCGACAAAGTCGCCGTGTCGCCAGAGGAAATCAAAAGACTTTCAAAGGAATTCAGCAAAAAGATTCCAGACTTCTTGTGTTCCCCCGCCGAGATCCAGGAGTTTCTGCTCTGTCGAAAGAAACATCCTCAAAAGGCATTGGATGATGTGGAACGTTGGGTGGAGGGGATGGCCAAGCGAAAGAACTCTGGTTCTAATCTTCGGATGGTGCATTAGATTGACGTCAACGTGGGAAGTGGGTACTTGCCCACCCTGAAATGGAGGAAGGAGCGGTGCCATCAGGGCGGTTGCAGGATCTGAAAAGTCAAGCGTGCCTAGGACTGCTGAAGTACACGAGTATGCAAACTTGGAAGAGTAATTTTATTTTGTTTTTCAATGTTAGTTTTTAAAGGGTCAGAACAACTGAAAGAATAGAATTGACAAGTACGATGGAAACTCTACATCATTTTGTAGAATCATGCTTCAGTCCGGGCAGAAGCAGCGGCTACCCGGCACGCCTATTTTTAAAGGCCCAATGCCGCCCCACCACACGACATCGCGCTGCAAGCTATCCACGACAGCTTTCCCCCGTCTCCAATATCATCAATTCGACGACGGGGACAAGCCTGGCCATGCCAAACCCCTCCGCTCCAGACTAGCACACGTACGCACACACATACACACACCTGACCATGTCAAATATACAGCCCACAGCCCAAGGCACGAAAGAGACGGGGCTGCGCGTGCCCAGCAATGGCAAGACAATCTACCACCGCCCGCTCAACCGCACCAAGACGGCCGAGCTGAGCCAAGCGAGCTTCGCCTACCTGTTCAGCGAGATGGTCACCTATGCGCAAAGAAGGGTAAAGGGTATCCAAGAACTCGAGCAGCGGTATGTGCGCCCAAACCCACATTCGACCGTGATCTCCAAGGGAAAAAAAAAGGAACAAAGGGAAACAAACGAAAGGCCAACTAAAACCTCGTTTGACCCAGGCTCAACGAACAAGGACACCCCATCGGCCTCAAGCTCCTCGACCTCCTCCTCTACCGCGAGCCGCCGCGCTCGCAGCTGCGCCCCCTGAGCATCATTTCCCTCTTGCACTTCATCAAGCAGAATGTGTGGCAGCACCTGTTTGGCCGGCAGGCAGACCGGCTGGAAAAGTCCAACAACCCTGACACGCCCGACGAGTACATGATTATCGACAACGAACCGCTCGTCAACCAGTACATCAGTGTGCCGCGCGAGATGAGCCAGCTGAATTGCGCGGCGTTTGTAGCCGGCGTCGTCGAGGGCGTTTGTGACGGGGCGGATTTCCCGGCCAGGGTGACGGCGCATACCGTTGGCGAGGGGGACATGTGGCCTGGCAAAACGGTGTTTTTGGTCAAGTTTAGGAGCGAGGTTGTTGAGCGGGACGGGCTTCTGGGGAAGAGTTGACTTTTTTTTTCTTTTTCTTTTCCGTTTTCAATTTCCTTTGAAGCGGGGAGGAAAGTGACAACGTTGGGCGTTTTTGGTGTTGTGTCTGGATTTGTGTTTGGTTCGGGTTTACTGGGGAGTGATATCCTGTCGTGGCATGTGCTTGTATTCATAAACGCCGCGCTGAATGAGAGGCTCATAACCATGGTCGTTTCTGACCTCGGTGGCAAGGAACAATGCTGCTGATATCGTCTCTACCAGCGTCTCTATCTCCACGTGTGAGACTTAACCACCATAACATACCTGAGTCTACCTAGGCATACATTTCCCGCTCACGCCCTTTGGCGGCCCCCTCTTCATCAACTCCCCCAGCCCCAAGTCCTTCCACGCCGCCCCCCTTACCTCCTTTGTCGCACGCGTGATTCCAAACGCAGCATGCTGATCTGGCACCACGTCATCCTCGTCCTCCGGATTCAGCGGCTGGTGCTGCGGCGGCACAAAGATTTCATCCGAGGGGAGCTTGTCCTTGCAAAAGTCTTCAAAGAGGTCTGCGTTGGAGGCCGTTGACATGTGTACGTATGTAAAGGATGAGTCCTTATTCTACGCGTACGTGTGTTAGTGATGATACTCGCGGGTTATTTGTTTGGAGCACGAGGCTACGACACTGAGTGGTTGGTAGGGGCAAGTCGAGACGCGTCGACACACGTACCATTGCGGAAAAGTTCTCTAGGAGTCTGCGTGGTTTGGATTCTGGTTTGGGGGCAGTTTTGTCCTTGTGGACTGACATAAGTGGCAGCGGTGCGAGTGAGATATTCGGGTTGAGTAAAGTTGTTGTTGGGAAATCTGCCTCTAGTTTAGCGGCACTAATATTCCCGGTATAGCGGGTTAAAAGTGGGTTCTCGCCACTTTCAGCACTCAAGGACCCCCCTCCTTCTCTCTCCTGGGTTTAAGAGCAAGCACGCACTTCGGCCATTCGTATGGTTCACCTAAGCTTGCCTCGGAGATGTCTTTGTCTTGCACCAAAGTATCGTGTGGTATCTGATCTTGCTGATATGCTGAGTGGCTGAGGCAGGACGATTCTCGTACCATGGGCTTGCTTGTGGCCCGTCCAGAGATATTTCGTACTTCCAGCGACGTACATCCAAGAGGCAATCCCCACACCGAATCCAGACCTCTGCCAGCCGGACTAGACCACCGACAAGAGTGCGTTCGGGCGGAACCCCATCCGCTAGCATTTGGGAATAGACTTGATGCCACAGTCGAATCAAGTTTTGCCATGATAAAGATGGAATTGATGGGTTCGTGGAGATAGATGAGGCGAAGCCGACGCCCTGCTCAACGAAAAATGCGCCGCGCATAATTCAAGACGACCGTGACCGTCCGTTCGTTCAGGTATCGAGATGAATCTTGTCGCTTGACTGACAAACGCTCTGGTGGTGATTCTTCTGTTGCAAGTATAATATATTCCGAAGTTTCAGGCAAGGAGAAGTTCCCCCCAATTTTCCCCCATCGGTGTAACGGCATGAGACAATGTAAACGAGTCGAGCCATGGCGAATATAAAACGGAAACCAGCCCATGTCTACCCATAGTAAATGCCAATGAGCACATCAAGCGTCTAGTCACAGGGAGTCACAGGCTAGCCGAGTAGTCACCAGCTGTCCCTTCACCATAGTTGAGCCATCCTCATTACTAATTTTGCCTAACAAATAGTGTAAATACATACCGCAAGGTAAAATGCTCTAAATTAATCCCTCCAGCAAGCTCAGTCCAACCATTAGGGACTTGGTTGCCATGTAAAAAATACATCCTCCAGGGAAACGAATGTAGACGTAACGGTACACTAGTCCGACATAAGAATACATTAGCTGGGAGAATACCGAGTTCCTGAGCCGCCCGTCCTTTTCCTTTTGCCAATAATTTCTTCCTTTATTTCGAGATTCTTTTTCATCGACTTTCCATGCGCCAGAATTTCCAGCCTTCTCTTTCGCCGCCGTCCCCATGGACACCAACGAGCTTTTCGACACCTTCGGTACCTTCCGCATTGAGGAACTTCTCCAAGTCGATTTCCATGCCGCCTTCCTCATCTTCCTCAGTGCCGTTCTTCAGAATGGCAGGCCACAAAACTCCAACACCGTCGGCACCAAGCGTCGCCTCAAATTTTGCGTAGTTTTCCCTATCTAGTCGTTCCTCGAGCTTATCAAGCTTTGCTCTTGGAACGTCGGGCCGCAAAAGTGTGATTGAACAACCGCCGCCGCCGGCTCCAGTAAGCTTCGTCCAGCCGATGCCCTCGTGATCAACCAATTCGCGCACTCGTTCTAGTCGGGGGTGTGAAACACCAAGCGAGACTAGCAAACCGTGGTTAATAGTCATGAGCTCGCCGACCTTCATTAAGCTCCTCTCTTCTTCCTCGTCGAAGTCGTCGTCGGCAATCAGCTCAGCTGCGGAGCTAGCCACCTTGTCCATTGCGTCCAGAATGGATGCCACCAGCTTCGGGTGCATTTTATTCAGCTTACCCACCTTGGCAACCTCGTGAGCCGTCGACTTGGGCTGTTTGGTGTCGACAAGCAATAATGGAAGCTCTGGAAAGTCCCAAAGTGGCTTCACAGACGGCGGCTTATCGTAATCTAATATCTGGAACACCACAGCTTTGCCTTGCGTGGCCACGGTATTATCTACTCCTGAAGGATTGCCGTGAATGCACATCTCGTATACAAAGGCCCATCTATTGATGCGCTCAATCTGTAGCCGAGCCTCCTCAGGCGGCTGGTCGGGGTGAGGTCCGGATAATGTCCGTAACTGGATGAGCAGGGCAGCAGACACGCATACCGCAATGGAGGCGCTGCTTCCCAGGCCTGCGCCAATTGGTATTGTAGATCGCAAAGTGTAAAGGCAGCCAGGAAATGAGGGGGAGCCGAGCGAGAGAAAGAGGTAAAGAAAGGCAAAGGCGCCGTTTCTGTGGACTCGGCGGATGTCCTCTGGGCCGTCTGGGGAGACGTCAACATGAGGCCCGAGGGCGGCAACGAGATCGGGGTCGAGTTCGGTGACGAGGGAGTAATAGGACTTCTTCTTGGAAGGCTGCTGGAAGGTGTCCCAGGGAAGTTCGTCGATATTCCACGTGTGCACGAGGTCGATATCAGTAAATCGCAGAGAGACTGTTCTCTTAGACTTGGAGAGGGTCGTAACGTGAAGATAAGATCGTAACGAGATGGCAGCAGCAATGGCGGTCTGAGACGACGAGTGACAGTCAGCGTATGCAATTGGACGGGTTACTTGCGTATGGAATCTTGGAGGCATCATAGACTCACCTTGCCATAGACAACAGAATGCTCTCCAAAGACGATGACTTTGCCCGGCGCAGATACCATAAAGGCCGGAGCCATGGGACTGGACTGTTTTCGGTCGGCCTTTATGCGATGCACCAGAGGCCCATCGCCTTTCACACGGGGCATGCCATTGCTTGGGCCGTTGGTGCCATTGCCATGCACGCCGTTGTGCATCTCGGAACCTCGAATCACGCCTTGTCAGTCGGGTCGTTGGGGGCGGATAGTGAAGGGGGAACCTGGCTGGCGTGTGATTGTCGTTTCGAATATCCGTACTGAAAGCTATTTCCTCCTCCTGTCTCTTTCGTTGTCTGCGAAATTTCTCCCTCTTCTCTCTCTCTCTTTTCTTTATTTGTTCTTGGGGCCGAGTTGTGCTGCATAGATTCAAGGTTGCAGTCCGAGGGGCCAACAGCTCTTCTGCAGGTCATGTGGTTGAAATCAATGAGGGTGCACCTGGGCTCTACGTACTCCGTAGCAGACCCTTCAATGTTGGGCTGGGGCCTGCTCTAGTCCGGTGTGGAGGCGAGGAATCGGGCTGCGGCTCGCTGCTGCAAGGGTCGGGTGCTGAAGTGGGCAGGGCAGACTCCCAAGATAGCGTCCTGCATATGTATGTCGACTCAGCAGGATGTCAAAGAGGAAGGCTTGCAGACTGGTTTGAAAAAATGGAAAAACAGGGATACAGAGTCGTTATCTCGCCGTACGAGGGGGGACCAACAAAGATGACGCAGGAGTCAAGTTTCAATTTGCAAGATGGGCAGGCGCACATCTTGATATCTAGGTACGGAGTACTCCGTACCTAATCATTACTTGATACCAGAGTGACAGACATTAGCCCACCAATCCACCCTCCAAGCCACCATCTACATCCCGCATTCCCAGTGGCTGAGAGACTCCTTTGGTCCCCCTTTTTTTGACTTGTTCCTCAACGACGAGACGACGATAAATAACGGAATCCGGAACGCAAATGTGAAATGTGGAGTCTTGGTAATATACAGCTCCTAATTGGGACACTACTGAAGCCGAGAAACGTGGAACATTGACGAGGAGATCCGCGGGCGTCTCGATGGTGCCTCGAAGGAAGCAGTCGGCTGTCGTCCCATCGAAACACGCATCCGATCCAGGTGCATCAACGAACAGCCAACTTCCTACTTATCTAGGCCGAGTACAAAGTACCTCCTGAGGGGTGACGCTTGGGAGCGCAAACCGCCGCACTGCCTACGCGCACAAAGCACGAGTTGATACAGAAGACCTCGGCAATCTCGTCGTCTTCTTCTCCCCCCGCTTCAGAATCCTCTTCTATGATCTCGTGCTGCGAGATGTTCCTGGTCTTGCGGCTGGATCATGCGGCTTGACGTTCCACGACTTGTACGTATCCATAACCTGCCGAAGACTCTTCCCAGAGCATAAATCATCCAGACACGCCTTGGCTTTATCCACGTTCATAAACATGAACTCAGTTTTGTCGACTTTGCCGAAAAAGTAGCCCTGCGCGCTTGCAACCGCCTGGCTCAACTTATCCAAGACCTGCCAGCCTGCCAACACTTGTTGCCTGACCGTCTCAGCCTCAGCCGCCTGCAAATTCGCCAACTCTCGCTGACCCTCAGCAATACGCGCGAGGCGAACAAACTTGACCGGACTACGTCGACGTTGTATCTGCTGCATGAGCCCTTGCATGGTGCACCCAAAGGGACCTACTATAGCAGAGATGGGTTTCAACACCAAGCCGCCCATGCCCATGCCGGCGCCTTTGACAAACCCAACTACGCCTTCATTCTTGGCGCCCTGAATTGGAAGACGAATAACTCCCGTAACGCCATCATAAATCCCCCATATAAACTCCCTGCGCGAAGCTAACAGTCCGGAGCGAATGCCAGTTACCCTCGTCAATCGTCTGACGGTATCATCACCATATAGTCGCGGGGCATTGTGAAGGCCCTGAGCAAGAGCAACGATACAGAGTGCGGGAGCCCTCACGACAGCCAACCCTGTTTTACGCATACTTGTCGAAATATCCTTGCCGTACTGCCTCACGCTTGGCACCGGAGTGAGCGATAGCTTTCGCGTCTTGTTCTGCTTTTTTGCAGCCACGCTCGCCTTCTCGACTGAAGTATTCGATGACGATGGCAGTCTATTATCTCTGTTCTTCTTGTCTCTCCTTTCTCGCAGCTGGTGCCGTATCCTTCGTTTGGCTGTCTTCCCAACACGATACGGCGCGCCCGCAATACCGCTAAACATATCTCTCAGGGAGTTTTTAACTGATTCAGCTACAGCCGTTACGGGCTCGCCGGGTCCTACAAAGTCGCTCCACGCCGAGTGTCGCAGCAGACGTAGCTTCTTCCAGCAGAGTTGACCGCTATCTACTAGGATTGCCGCGGCAAGCACGCACAGTTTAATATGCGTGCCCCTAACCTCCCACACGGCGACGTCCGACTTGATTATTGAGCAGCTAAAGGTAGGAGGACCGTACAATTGGAGCTGCTTCTGGAAACTCTCCATTGTGTTTACGGCACCGTCCCCGTCACGTCTAATGGACTCTGCAATCTTGCCTGCCGCCGCCTGGGCTTCTGTGGTGAGAAGATATCGAATCCCATCAGCCAACTTATCCGCGTTAAGATGCTTGCATGGTATGGGCTGCGGGCCAGCACCAGACTTGGCTACTATGCTGCCCCAAAAGTACTGATCTCCAAAGAAGGGTACAATCATAGTTGGCAGCCCGCACTTTAATCCTATGGCTGGTGTGCGTCTCCCCCCCTTATGGGAACAGCCCTTGTCC